GACACAGCCAGGTGGTGGTGGAGGATGATCTGGGGTGCTGAGGGTGCCATGATGACTCTGAGTTCGATGGTAGACACTGGAGCATCTTGCCTGGCAGATTATATTGGTGTATTTCATATTTTAAGAATCAGTGATGCAGAGGCAGGGAACATTGAGCAGGCACTAAAAATTCTCCATGTGAAAATGATGAGATGATGAGAGTGGTCAGGGTTGAGTTCTAGTCTGAAAACAGATTGTAGGAGATTCACTTATAGATTGGACATGAGATGTGATAGAACCATACAGAACGACTCAAAGATTTATGGCTGGAATAGCCAGGTGGATAGAACACCATTTGCCAAGGTGAGAAAGACTGTGTAAGGTTGGAGAAGAGCAAAGGTTTAGTTTTAGAAGCTGGTAAGATGACCCAGTAGTTTAAAGATCATACTGCTCTTGCAGAGGACAGGCCCATAACTATCTATAACTTCAGTTTCAAGAGATCTGACACCCTCTTCTGGTCTTCAAAGGCTCCTGCACTCACATGGTGCACGCACATAGACTCAGGCACACACACTCTCCCTCTCTCTCTTCCTACTCTCTCTCTCTCTCTCTCTCTCTCTCTCTCTCTCTCTCTCTCTCTCTCTCTCACACACACACACACACACACACACACACTTTTAAAACTTGAATTTTAAATATAGGTTTAAGTTAACTAAGTGGAGAGACTAGTTTCATGTCCAAAAGGAGGCAAGCTTAAAGATACACATTTTCTAGTATCCAGTGTGTGTGTGGACTGTAGCCATGGTATTGGATGAGATGATCAAGGGAGATCAGATAATGAAGATAAGAGGTTCCAGCCTAGAACACACCAGACTTTGGAGACCAGGGAAAGGAAGCATAACTAACAATAACAAAACAAAATGAAACAGACAAACAAACAAACAGAGAGGGTACGTGGTGAATTAGGAAGGGTACAAGAGACTGGTGCATTGACATTATTTGAAAACCTTTAAGGTTGAGTCAAATTGTAGTAAAAGGTGAAGTGATAGTCAAAACACTAACCATCAGCAAAGTAAAATGTTTAAGTCTATAATATGAAGGGATTCCCTCCCCACCGCTTGGATTGAAGCTAGGTCCTCATGCACATGCTCTACCCCTGAGCTACACTCCAAGCTCCTCTTTATTTTCTAATTATGCTCAACGGGCTATACTACAGTTCTGTCACATGACATCACTTTAGCACACATGATTCATTTAATCTTTGCAGTAACAGTCAAATCACTCACTTATCTTTAGAAATTGCTTATCTGAGGGGATTACCCATATTTAAATGATGGCCCTGTCCAAGCTATGCAATGATAAAGAGAACAAAATCAAACGTGCAAAAAATTCTCTGCTAACTTCACAGTCATTGATGACTTGGGGTGTCAAATTTACATCAGTAGTACTTATCAGGGTGCCAAATTCTCTCAGCTTCGGTTGCAAAGCAATTACATTCAAATGTTCTATCTTTCCCAATCTTTTAGCACAGATATTTCTGAGATTTTGTATATTAAAAAAAACCTTTGTTATCAACTAAATCAGGGAAGTCAGTTCGCAATGTCATGTTTAATTGGTAGATATAAACCATCAGGCCAAGCAAGAGGTGGGGTACTATGGTAGTCAAGAGTCCTGGCTGTGTGCTGGCCTAATTGAGTTTTAGTCACATTTCTAACAGTCAGATTTTAAATTCCTTAGCCGTGCCCCCATTGTCATTATCTGTAAAGATTGGGAGGAGGCTAATTACAGTATTCTAATGACTTAGTTTTTATCAAACGGGGAGCAAAACACATATTGAGTGTTTTCATTTTTATTATTAACATTGCTGGTAATTCATGTGAAAGGTGGATATTTGGAGTTTTTAATGACCCTATACAATTAAATGGAGGCGGCATTTGACAGTGACCCACACATTGGGAATCCCTGATCTCAAATTGCCTGTAAAGGTCCATCCATGATCACTGCTACTCATTTTCTCTGCCTTTGAGAGGCTAAGTCCAAGGAGGTTACAGTCCTATATGGGGCCATTGAAATGGATGTTGGGATCAGCCACAGAAGCGCCAGGTTAGAGCTTTGGAGGGCAAATGAGCTTTAGACCAGTGTTTGCTTGAATACCAGCATCACCAGGCTACACAGGCTAAGGGCCTATTAGATCCAGGATCTAAGGCTGGCTCAAGCCACGATGTGTCTGGTGGCATTTTGGGAGCATGAACACCAGAGAAGCCTCCAAAGAGGGTACCACAAGGATCTTTAGGGTTGTGTGTGGTGCCTAGCAGAGACTAGGTCGTGCTCTTCAGATGTGTCTTCCTGGGGGATTGATTGGGTGGGCACATTTATCAGTGACCAATGAGAATGAAAACCAGCCTGCTTTCCCTGCCCACCCACAATGGCCTTGATTAATTCTTTAATTTATACATTCTGTGGAGGTGGGAAACAGACTTCAAGGAATGGCTGTGGCTGAGGAAAGCTCTCAGAGGATGCAGAAATGTGGTCATTTGTAAACACTTTAAATTTTAAACGAGCAGTGGAGCTGTAGCGCTGCATGTGTCTGGATATCTGCTCCGTGCTACGTTCAAGTACATTGAGCTCCGACTCCTGGACTTTTGTGAAATGGAGGTTGTCCCTGTTCTGGTGGGCTGATGGTGATGTGAGCCTGCCTGAATGGAACCGGTGACTTTCTTAAGCAGTTTTGATCAACAGATGGACAGAGATATATAAAATGGGGATGGAGATAGGTGACCAAGGGTATTTTCCTAAAATAGGAGAGACAGCAGCACTTTGCATGTGGGTGTGAGCTTCTGCAGCCAACCTGCCTCTGCCCCTCAGCCTGAACTTGTGTGGGGATTGTCCAAGGCTGTGTATTTTTTCAGATTTTTTCCCCCATTGCTCTCTCTGTAATCTGCTAGACATTCCTTAGCGTATTATTTGTCCTCTCTTGCCATAGATGCTATCTTGATTTATTTCTGGATATCTCTTCTCCCTCTGTTTTTAGTATCAACTCGACATGATAAATCAGTAAGTACCCATGTAGCCTGCGTATCCTGGATGTGTGCTCTTTTCTCTGCCAGAAGACAAACATTTCAGCCTCTTAAACCATGGCCTGGAAAATCAAATGCTATTCTCTAATACTGCTTTTGCAAATAGATCTATCTACCCATCTATCATCTATCATCTATCTATCTATCTATCTATCTATCTATCTATCTATTATTTTTTGAGACAGGGCTTCTCTGTGTAACAACCTTGGCTGTCCTGGAACTCACTCTGGAACCTGGCTGGCCTCAAAATCAGAGATTCACCTGCCTCTGCCTCGTGAGTGCTGAGATTAAAGGTGTGTGACACACACACACACACACACACACACACACACACACACACACACACACACACACGGCTCTTGTTTTATCTATCATCAATCTGTCTATCTTTCACCTATCTATACCTATTCATCCATGTCTGTTTACCTATACCTTTATTTACAAGCCTGGCTGTTTTTTGGAAAAGAGTCCAAACTTCTGTCATGCTGACCTGGATACAGATCCCAGCCTCACCAATGACTACTTCAGTGAAACATGATTCCTCTAAAACGGTGGCAGGTGTGGAGGTGGGTAAGGTGGAGAAGGAGGCAAACCCATGCACATCATAGTAGTATTATTATGGGGGAATCAAATGAAGGGGAAAAGTGAAATTCTTAGTCTTTAAAGGGTCTTATTTACATCCCATAGTAAAAGGTTTCTACCTCATTCTAAGCATCATAGCTTTGGCTTTCTAAAATGAGACAACCCCTCATATGTCTAACTACTGATGCTTGGGTGTTCAGCAGCCAGTACTTCTTTCCAAATGGAATGCCACTTTTAACCACATCATGAATGCCACAGGAAGGTATAACATCCTAAAGTGTGTGTTTTCTGGTGACCTTCCCAGATATATGTCCTATATATGGGAGTGAAATAACTCTATTTGCAGAAATGTGTCTTTGGAACTCTAGACCTTAAACGAAGGAGAAGTCAATCACTCTTGTTATTTTTAGTTTCCTTTTCCATGAAGCACCGAGTAGGTTCAGAGAGCATAAAGATCACTTTTAAGTATATGCAAACAATAGCATCAGTCCCAGATTTCTTTGAGGAAGAAATTTTGAAGACTTAAATGATGTAGAAAAGTACCTTGTTCTCTGTCCTCAGTAGCAAATTCCAGCAGATTAACCAACATGTCAGTGCAGGGTTAGTAGGTTAGGCAGTTGTGGTGGTTTGAATAAGAATGGCCCCCATGGGCCATTTGTTTTGATTGCTTAGTCATCAGGGAGTGTAACTGTTTGAGAAGGTTAGAAGGTGTGGTCTTGTTGGGGAAGGTGCATCATTGAGGGTAGGCTTTGATATTTCAAAAGACCAAGCCAGACCTTCCCTCATTCACTCTACAGAACAGGATATAGCTCTCAGTTACTGCCTCAGATCCTGTCTTCCTGCCTATTGCCATGCTCCCTGCCATAATGATAATGGACCAAATCCTTGAAAATGGAAGCAAGCCCCTAATTAAATACTTTCTCTTATACAAGTTGCCTTGGTCATAGTGTACCTTCACAGCAGTAGAGCAGCGACTAATCTAACAGTCATGCCTATCCCAATCTCTGTCTACACTTGACTTTCTGAACTCTTCAAAGCTTGCCTTCCAGCAGGTAAGGTCTCAGCATCATTTTCAAGCCTGTGTTGCAACTAACCATTATGGGTCACTTGGTGATTACATGCAAATACAACTTAATTTTGTATTACATTCCTTCTTGGGGCTGGAGAGATGATTCAGCAGTCAAGAGTACATACTGCTCTTAGAGAGGACCAGCACAGTGGATGATTCACAGCTGCCTGTAACTAACTCCAGGACACCTAATGCCTCCAGCCTCGGTGGACACCTGCACCCACACACAGAAAGCACACACATACACATGATTAAAATTAGTAAAATTAAATAACTAAAAAGGCCCAGAGAACTTACTCATAACACACAGGAAACAATCAGTGGCTCTTAGCTTTATTTTACTATCCAAGATGGTATCAACTTAAGTACATACCATATCCATCCAGAGAAGGTTCTTCCTGCATCAATTGTACCTTTGCCACCCTCCCACATCCACATATTTTGCCAGTGGGGTTGGGCAAGACAACTTTAACTTCAGTAGTATCACAACATCTTGGTCAATTTCTTGTTACTTTTTTTTTCTTTCTTCTTTTGATAGGTCTTGCTATGCAGTCCAGGCTGACCTTCACCTCATGATTCCCCTACCTCACCTTCCTTCCTGAGTGCTGAAATGACTAGTACACGCCACCCTCCCTTGCTAAAACTCTTGGTTTTAGTCAGTGGGGCAGAAACCATCTTGGTATCATTTCTGTTGGTGACAGAAAGTCTTCTTCCAGTAGGTTAACATTTTTCCCTTTCTCAGTTACCTCTCCCTCCTGAAGTTTCTAAAATGTTTATGCCATTTTTTCTCTTGAGAATAATAATTAAAAACAAAAGATTACAGAATAAAATAGCCTTGTGGAGAGGGACTGGGAGACAGCTACTCTTAACTCTAACAATGGCTTTCTATGAGAGGATTTCAAGCCAGTTTGTCTTTCTGGCAAAGGGTACCAGAGGCAGGCACAGCATGAAACTCCCAGTCTCTTCATAAAAAAAGGGGGGTTGGAGTTCTTAGGCACCAATGGATGTCAGAGATGAGCTAAGAACAAATACTCACATAGAAGGAGCAGTGACATTTAATAAAGTGATTAAGCAGTGACATTAAATGAATTCTCAGGCTATTTTGAAGTGATTAATGTGGGTGGGTGGAGGCCAGGACTCACTGGGGAAAGATGAAGATGTTTTTCTTTATTAAAAATTACCAGCAATAATGACGGTAAAATTCTCACAGGGCAGTTTTGTTTGATTGTCCTGGATGGTAAACAATGCTGATCATTAAAAAGTTTTCTCCTCCAGGAAGCTGAGGCAGGAAGATCACAAGTGCAAGGTCAGTCTGAGCTAGGTAAGTTAAGAGGCTAGTCAAGGGGCAAGACGTGGTCTCAAACAACAAAGCCTTTCTTCTGCATTGGGGTAGGACGACGTCCCTTTCACCTCTGAAAGAATGAAACTATTTATGAGCAGATTCTGAGCGTTTTTGGAATTGTTTGGAGGCAGTCTTAGTTATTCTGCATCTCTCCTATTTCCTAGGTGGCTTTCACATCAGCAGCACTGTCCCCCAAGAACACAATGGTTAAGAACCTACTTCCAGGATAATTGGGGGGATTCAATGTGGTCCTTTATGCCAAGTGTTCAGCCAAAAGCTGAAAACACGGGAATTGCTGAAACATGTAAGATAGCTTGGTCATCATTTACTTCTGTCTTTACTATGACCCCCAGGGAGAGCAGCTCTGTGGAATGAGCCTGCCTCTGTGCTCTAACCAGCCACCCTGTGTCAGAAGTGCACTTGTGCTTACCAAGCCTTGCTTGTTTATGTACTACCTACCATTTTAGAAACTTGTTCAATGAATCTGACCTGGGCAGAGTTTACAGGTGAATGAAAGATGAATAAGTCCCATTCAGGCAAAACATTTTTGCCTCACCATTTTTGCCTCTAGAGAAACAAGTGTCTAAATCTGTTTCTGTTTTAGGTGGTGTAGTATATAAACCAGAGAGGATATTTGGCTCACAATTTGGGGGAGTAGGAAGTTCAAAGACTTGGTCCCATTACCCACTTGGTTTCCTTTGAGGGTTTTGTGCTGTCCCATAACTTAGTAAAAGGAAAAATTATGAGATCAGACTTGCTTTATGATAACCCGTTCTTGTGATAATGAACTCACTCCCATGAGAGCATCATGATTCCCTCTTACAGACCTTGCTTATTAAAGGGTCCACGTCCCAACACTGCCAGAATGACAACTGAATCTCACCATGAGCTTGGGAAGATCCATATTCAAACTCTGTCAAGAGGCAATGGAATGACACTTTTGGAAGCTCAAGTGGGATTATCTGGTCCTACTTCCTACTTGAAGAAGGAACCACAGCCTCAGCTTTCATTCCAAACATCCCTCTGTCCCTCCTTTAGCAATAGAGCTAGGAGGCCAAATGGATCTGAGATAACCTTAGTGAGAAACCTCAGGTTAGATTCCCTTCCTGGAACAGTTCATTCCAAAGCCATGGAGGGGTCTTAGATAATTATTAAATAATACTAATTGTTAAATAATCAAATAATTTAGTAAAATATAAATACATGTAACACATTTACATACTTTATATATTTTTGTGTACAAATAATTTAAGAATATACAAGACTACATTGTCTATGTTTCTATACATTTTAGTTCTTTTTCAACTTTCAAACACATGTTTTTCTAAGAAACACTGCTTATGGAAGTCCTAGAATCTATGCTTAACAAGACATTGTGTCTATCTTCTAACACCTTTGGTTTTCTTCATGGGACTTTTAAGACAGATGGAGGATGAAAACTCAGGCCTGTATTCTGCAACCTTATGAGCACTGGGTACAATGATGGGAATGACTATTCTTTCCTCAGCTCCATGCCCACACATTCCTGTGTTGAATCCTAATCACCAATCAGACAATATTTGGAGAGATTGTGTCATGAGGGCAAGGCCCTCATAAATGGGATTAGTGCCTGTAGGAACTTACATATAGAGCTCAGTCTTGCGAAAAGGATGTCCTGAGTGCTGCCCTCAGTGTATCCTGTATCTGGACATGGCCTTCTATAGTCTATGCCAGGCATTGTGTTCAAATTGGTCTGTCCTGAGAAAGTTCCGGGAAGGGCTGCTCTGTTAATATTTAGTATGTGCTTACTGACGTTTACTTTCATCTTTTTCCAAACTCAAGCAACCTTCCCTGGATTGTTGCTTTCTTTGTTACAGTCATGTTTAGAAGTACACTGAAACTGAAGTAAAGCATTAAACTGTAGTCCACCCCATTCCTTAAGGTCCTCAAATCTCAGCACTTGCAGACAGATTTGCACAGGTCAATGACAGTTGACAGTACCCTTCTAAACGAGGTGCCAGGAAGTTTGCTGATCTCCCTGCCTGTGAGAACAAGTGAAAAGCACTGTCTCTAAGGAGCCAGACAACTAATGTGGTAGTTGATGTCAGATATCTCAGCTTCCAGAACTGTGAGAAATAAACTTTTTATTGTATGTGAGCTACTGAGTCTATGGTACTTTGTTATAGCAGCACAAACAAGAAAAAAAAAAAGACTTGGATATGAAGTGGCAGGCATTCTTGGGACTATTTTATACATTTGTGGTAGAAACAGGAAACAAAGAGATTCAGAAGTCCCTTAAGCATTTGAGCCAAGACAGAGAGAACATGGATGAATAGAGAAGAGTCCAGCCTGCCAACATCAAACATCCAACAGACGGTTCACTTGGCATCAGTATCATTTTCATTTTTTTCTGTCCCTCACATGAAATTCCTTCCTCCTGCTTTCTCTCTCCTTGTGTGAAAAGAGAGAACTACTTAACAATCAAGACCATTTCAAGGCCAAGACAACCAATTAACAGTAAGACTTCACGAAAATTGCAAACATCCTTCCTCCAATGCAAACTTTTAAATCAGGGGGACAGACTTCCACATCCTTCCTTAATAGAGCTTGGCCTCCATCCGCCAACATTAACCACTCTAAAATGGCCCGAGAACCCATGTAATGTCACCGCCTAATCCATTTAATAAGGGTCATTGATCCTTGACTGTGAAGATGTGTTTTGTTTCCCATTCCCACCTCTCTGTCCCACAGTCTGAGTTTAAAGACATTTGTTTTCTCCTCAAGGACGATTGGAGACCTCTGTTGAGCCCCAAGTATTTGAAACCTCACTAAGGTCCAAGACACTTTGAAATAGGATCCATTTTGGTCAGGGTTCCACAATGTGACTGAAGTCTCCACAAAGATGCATTCAGCCCTGGACCTTGACTGGTTTTCTACTCTCCTTGGTAGAGGTTGGAAGTGAAAACACAGCTCCTTGCAAACTAACATTTTGGGAAGATATTCAATTTGTGGCTTCCTTCGGGAGCACACTATCTTGAGCCATCGGCAGAGACAGGGACCAGTAACAGGCTTTCCCACTGGCCAAGTGTTAGGAGACTGGTGATAAAAAAAAAAAAAAAAGCAAGAACTTTGTGGCTTAAGAATCTTATATGTAAAGAGAGGAGTGTAGACAAAGGAGTGGATGAAAGTTTGTGAGGTGAAGATGTCTGCCCAGAAACACGGTGCAATACAGTTTGGAGCTGCAAAGACTTGTCTGGGACTCAGGAGGGAGAGGAAGGGTTCACTGAGTAGTGCCTCCTGAGGCCTGTTCTGATGGATGGGGAGGAGTTTCCCACATGGCATCCCTGAACTGTGCTTGGGATGGGGCTGTAGTGGGAAGCTATTGACTGGACCCGTGTGCTTTTCAGAGCTTGCCTATCATGTATACTAGGAATGAGTGTGCGCGTGTGCAGGTTACAGTGTGGTGTGTGCTTAGGAGCTTCTCTCTGTGCACATATCGGAGGCTGTCTGCAAGGCAATGAGGCTTATTTAACATTCACTGTGGGACAAATAAGAGAAAATTAAAAGAGCAATTTTAGGAGGGAATAATTGTTTTCCATACACTATAATTACAACTGCCTGTAAATGCTGCTATCATAAACGAATCTGCCATTTAGAGTTCTCTTAAATTCTTTCCCGTAATGAACACTCGCTGAAGGCAGGAGACCTCGGCGATGCTCCAGCTGGGGAAGCTGGGCCTGCACTGACCCCTGGCGTCCGCCTTGGGCAGAGACCTCCACCGCAGGCACAATGCCTGGGGCTGGGACGGTAGCACTCTCTTGTCCTTTTCTGTCCTTGGCATTACAAAAACGCGGGAGACCCTTGAGGCAGAAGTAACTCTTAGATTCTCAGCCGTCCCAGGTCCTCTGAGGCGATTTCCTAACATTTGTGTGGGCACTATTTCTCTTCAGCTGTCTTGCTTCACCAAATCGCACCTCTCAACTGTCACTCCAAAACCTGAAGGTCGGTTCTGATCTTGCCTACCATGGGGGCAAGCAAGCCAGTGTCCCTCAGCCGCTGAGACTTGATGAAGGTGTGCCTCTCTCTGGCTGATCTCTCCATCTATCCCGGACAGCCACCAGCCACCACATTCCTTCCTGGATGGTACACACCAGCCTCCTGAGTGACTTTCTTGCTTGAGACTTAGTGTCTCCAGGGATCTTCCACTTTTAACTCACAAAATGTATTCCTTCAGTAACCTTTGATGAACCAGAAAGACTTCTGTTAATTGCTTTTAATAAGTCACAGCATGAACTTGGCTGTATCACTTGGGCAATCTCCTCTTTGTTAGGCTTGGGGCAAGAATGGTGCTTTTCCATCTTTCCAAGCTGAGGATTTTCACTATCAATTCCCTCAGCACCCCACCCTTTCCCTTTGTTTCTGAGAAATCTCTTGAACCAAATAAACTCGATGATTCAAATAAAATCATTTTCTTCTTTTCATGAAAGACAGAGCTGACTGATAATTGGGGCATCTGGTCAGGAGAAGATAACCAACATTATCATAAAGAATGAACATAATCCCAGCCAAAGGCAAAACAACACTCAGATAGTTTATCTAGCCAGTGCAGCCTTATCAAGACAAAATCTATGGTCTCTGTTAGCTATTTGGGAATACTGAGAAAAGCACATAGATAGGTATTGCAGCTATCCTAGAGTCTCTGTGATAGTCTGAAGAAGTGACCCTTGAGGTTACACCTGCTCTGAGATTCCAAGTTTCTCCAACACTCACATCCCACAGTCCTCTTGGCATTCTCTAGAGTGAGCAAAGCCTTCTTCTTTAATTGCACCTGGTCCATAAATAAATATTCCATCTCCAATGCCAGCTCTAATTAATTAAAGTTGGGAGGAGTTCACCATGCCACTTGCAAATTGAGCATATATGTAAAGATCTCAGAACAAATTAATTTCACATAGATTTAATGATTGATTATTTAATGCATGGTAATTAAACATTTGGGGGAGGGTATAAAGAGTCTAATTAGTATTAATTTTTACATTGCCAAATTGTATTTCCAATTTCTCTTTTTCTTTTTGGCCCATTAGTTATCTGAACATTGCCATTTTCCTTTGATGTTATATACCATTCGTCCTCTTCCCTCCTCCCCCTCTTCTGACTATGCTAGTCATTCATCTCAGGTAAAAGACTATGTTCTCCAGCCAAGTTGTCCCATACATTTGATAATCCTTTTTCTCCACAATGCAAATCTGGCTTGTTAAAGAATAAGGGAACCAAATTCTTCCCAGTTAATCAATTAATATCAACTTCTCTCTTTACTCTGTCTTTTCCCCTTTCTTCCTCACCTCTCCTTTTTTTCTCCCCTCTCTCCAAAACTCAGTTTAGAGTTTTTTATGGTCTCACAGGGAACCAAATTCTTCCCAGTTAATCAATTAATATCAACTTCTCTCTTTTCTCTGTCTTTTCCCCTTTCTTCCTCCCCTCTCCTTTTTTTCTCCCCTCTCTCCAAAACTCAGTATAGAGTTTTTTATGGTCTCACAAGCAGAGATGGGAGAACAGTATGAAGTAAATGACTGTTCACTTCAGTATTAAGAATGATGAGGTCAATTGAATCATATTGACTCTATGCTACATAAGAGCATTAGATTAATATTAAGTTTGGGTATGAAGTTTACACTTATGTAGGATGAATATGCCTAGAGATCTAATGTGCAGCAGGAGAACTATAGTCAAGAATATTTCATTGCATACTGGGAATTTACTGAGTAAATTTTCAGTATTTTTTTAACCACAAAAAGAGATACAAGAGATGATAGCTATGCTAATTTGCTTGGTTGTAGTAGTTACCTCACTATGTATAGGGATATCAGTGCCATATACCTTAGATCTGCACAATCTTAAACAACCTAAACTATTAATTTGTCTGTCTAAAATAGCAAGGTAGTAGTTACCTCACTATGTATAGGGATATCAGTGCCATATACCTTAGAGCTGCACAATCTTAAACAACCCAAACTATTAATTTGTCTGTCTAAAATAGCAAGGTTATAATTCATAAGGGAAACTCTTCGCGTTTATGAAGTGAATGCTTTCTGCAGCTTGCAGATATGTGTGTGTGTGTGTGTGTGTGTGTGTGTGTGTGTGTGAGCATGTGTATATATGTCCCTCCATATAACACAGAGAGATAATGTGGTAAGATGCCAGCAATTAATGAATCTGTGTGTGTGTGTGTGTGTGTGTGTGTGTGTGTGTGTGTGAGCGTGTGTATATATGTCCCTCCAATATAACACAGAGAGATAATGTGGTAAGATGCCAGCAATTAATGAATCTGGGTGAAGGATCTCTGGGTGGTCATTATTCTGGTTTCCAACATTTCTGCAGCTTTCAAACTTTTCAAAACATGCCTTGAGAAAAAGCCTCTTTTTGAATCACTTGGATGCTATCGTGTTATTATTTCATTCCTTTTCTTTCCTTAAACCTTGATTCATCCCTGCTGCCCAAATACCAGGAGGTGGCTTTCTCCTTGTATTCAATCAGGATGGGCCAGGTTATGCTGCAGTGACAATCTGAAAATCCCAGGAACTTAAACCATCAAAGGCTTCTCTCCACTCATGCTATGTGTCCATTTCAGATCAGTAGGAGATAAAAGCCATCTTTGTGAGCATCTCAAGTACCATCATTCTCACCTCTTAAGGTGCCATGTCTATGAAGTGGATTCCCCCCTTTATTTTCAAAGGAAGAGGTTTCTTTCCTCTTATTTAAAGATAACTGCTTCGCATGAACTCTGGACCCCTATCTCTTCTGGGATTTTGTTCCCACAATGTGTGTCTAGTTCCCCCTTCTCTATGTTTCTAGCCCTCTTCTCTCCATGTATTTTAGTTTCTCTGTCTCAGAAAGATCCTCTGTTTGATTCTGTTAAACCTGCTAAGTTCCTGCTCCTCATCTTTCCTTTTGCTGATGTCTCTCTACATTTCCTGACATGCCAATCTCAGTTTTCACACAAGCTGACATTTGCTCCCCAATTACACTGACTCGTTTTCTTGAAAAATGAGTAGCCATTTTAGTTCCCCATTCTGTTGGTCCTGATCTATCCAGTGAGATGCTGAGGACTGTGCCCCCATCCATTACATCTTCTCTAACTCTGATCTTCTGTGGCCAATTGTTGGGGTTCTCTTCCTATTCTCTGAGACTGCTGGTTCTCCTTCAATGTATCATTTCTCTCCTGTTATCCCACTTATGAGAACCCTCAAGGGACCTTTCTGCATCGGCCTCCCTCCTTCCCTCTAACCACTTTCCCCGAGATTTCTATTACAGCTCTCACATAAACTTCTCCAGCCTTGATCCTGCCTCTGCTATTCAGCTTCATCACCCCAACTGTTTCTACGACTTCCCCATTTGTGGGGACTGCCATTGCCTCCAAGGAACACACGTTCTAACTTCCTCGCCTCTGATATTTAATTTTTCCTCCTTAAAGGCCTCCTTTTATGTCTAGGTTCCTGGTCCAGTATCTTGGGAGTCTTTGACTTCTCCCTTTTTGCTCTCCATCTTCACTTTGGGTATCCAAGACTTAGTGTTTTCCCAATGGTAAGCCCCTTGTTCTTGTCATACACACCTTCTTTAGCTTTTTTAGATGCCACGGTCTGATCAGAACTATTTCCTGTTTGTTGTTTCCCCCAATTGTCAGTCAGATTGCATTCCTTCTTCTGTGGCAATGCCCTGTCACTGACCAAGTCACACAAGCGTCAGACCCAGATTCCTCAATCTAGATCATAATTTGGCTTCATCCAGATGTTTAGCCTCCATGTAGCCTTTCAGGCTCAGGCCCACTTGGGTCCTTCTCTCTCTAACACTGATTCTATGTGCGGTTCCTGTTCTCTCTTCTCACTCTTCACCTTTCCTTCATTGTCTTTATCACGCCTTCCACCTGCTCCTCCCTTCCCCTTCATTCATCTTCCTCACCCTCTCCTTTGAATCTTAGCCTTCCTTTAAGGTCTTGCCACCTCCTCCACGAAGGCTGTTAATTATTCAGTGTGCATGGTTCTTTCTTCCCCAGCTACCTCGTGTGACGTTCTGCACAGAAACAAACATAGTGATGGGCACATGGCCGGATCGGCAGACACGTGCGAGTTGATCGATTTCTCTGAGATCTGATGGATAGTTATCCTCTTTTCCCTCCTACCTAAGGAGGAATTATATCTGAAAGTGGCTGGAAAATATTTTTTTGTGTGTTCTCCTCAAAACCATATGGAGAGATTTGTTCCCTTGAAGCATGGCTGGTGATTTCAAAGTCCCAAGACAGCGCATTTTCTGTAGCAGCCACATCTATATTATTACACTGCTACATAATCCCATATCACAGAACTCTTTGCATTGCCTTTCTGCCTCTATACACTCGGTTCATCTGTATTTTCCAGCTTGGCCATTTTGCTGATGAATGGCAATGTTTTCGCTTATGTTAACCCATTTAATCCCCTGTGCAGTTCTTTCAGGATTGGTCACGCTGTTCAATTGACGCTGTTTTCCTGCACAAAAAAACGGTACAGCTCAAAGCATTTCAACTGGTTCAAGGTCACAGAGATAAGAATCACATCCAGTTGTTTTGCTGTCTTTCAAAGTTGGTTCCAAGCTCTTTCTGTTGCTTCAGGCTCTTTTTTTTCCCCCAGTTGTTCTTCCCCTTGACTCACAGTATCTCCATCCACCAGGGAGCATTTATTATATGGAGTCTAATAATTAATTTATAAGTCTTTTCCCCCTCATCAGATGGAGAGCTTACTCAGAGTAGAAACCAGGTCTTATTTAATCTTGTATTTTCATTGAACAGACCCAGATTTGTCTAACTCAAGTCATGAATGAATGAATGGGGGATATTGTGGTTTGATCTGCCCTCATCTCAGGGAAAAGAGACTTGAAGCAGACTGTGAACTCAGCATGGTTCATTGTATGAAGTGTAAGAAAACTGGCCAAGCCCCTTTCTCTTAAACATCTTTTATCCATCTCCTTCTTTCTTAACAGCCTAGTATCCTCAGAAACACACATGTCATTGACATCCTTGGTCCAGACAAGGGGTCACAGTTCAGGAAGGCTTAGGTTTGCATCTCCCTTCTGCTAATTATCAACTGCCTCGGTAGATCTGAATAGGTTATTAAAGTCGTAAGCTTCAATGTTATCTCTATGAAATGAGTATAACCACAGTAAAAGCTCAGAGTTTTGGGAACCCAGTAGAGTTACTTATTGGAAGCCTTCCATCTTAATGCCGAAACATAATAATTTATTTATGGAAAGTAATCATTGTTGTCCTAAGGAGGAGTGGTGATGTGCTTAGGAATCACGTGGCTGTCACAGTGGGGCTCACAGACTAGCGAGGTGTCTGGTTCAAGCCTGTCCAAGGTCTTTCTTTGGTAAATTGAAGCAGAGGAGGCAGGTAGCATTTCAGATTGTCTGTGCCGTGACACCTCTCATGTAAACTTGAGTAAAGTGGGGATGAGAGGGGCTTGTGACAACTTCATAAAGTTGGGACAAATGGTAGGTGACCATTTATGTTCATGAAATAGGTCCTTCATGGGTCCCTGCTTCCCTCCTGCTGTATTGTGCTGTCAGCTGAAGTTCATGTGTGTACATACATGCATGTTACTTTCTTAATGGCCTGAACTGCTATTCTGCATCCAAAGATGGAGAAACAGTACATCACAGGTAGTATGGCTGAAACCTCTTCAGCTCATTTGTAAATCCATCTCCTGGAACAGACAGAGACACAGAATTACCATCTCATAAATGTTCCAATGTATGTCAGTGCAGGGTTTGGATGTAGACAAAAGGTGGGCTATATCTCCATATAAATGATCTCTGGGAAAAACTACCATCTGCTTCCCTCATCATGGAGTGTTCCTCTAATTAGTCCATTTTACAGGTAAGCAAATTGAGGTGCAATGAGATCAAACTGAATACCAGCCTAGTTAGAAGAGAGACTGGAGAGGTCTAGGGGAAACTGACCAATGTCTGGTCCTCAAGTCAAACTGGAAAAAGATGGGTATTTGGTATTACAAAAAAAAGAAAGAAGAAAGAAAGGAAGAAAGGAAGAAAGAAAGAAAGAAAGAAAGAAAGAAAGAAAGAAAGAAAGGGAGAAAAAAAGAAAGATGAAGGTTCAAATCCTAGCTCCTTTTTGGTACACAGTTTATTTCCTCTAAATCTTGGTTTCTTTTCTGTGCAATGAGGACTATGATAACTCCCAGAATAATTAATTATTCATCTTTTTAAAAAAATGCATATTGAAGACCCATTATACACCAAAAACTAAGACTGTCAGAATTAAGCTGTATTGCAGTGTTGACCAAATGCTAGACAGGTGGCAGATGCCCAATCAAGGGTTCTCTCCTCTCAGGACTTGGAGCTTTGGTTGACCTTTCTCCAGGTCGACTCCACCTCCCCCCACTTTAGGAATGAATTGGAGCTGGAGAACTTGCTGACTGACTTTACTGCCTGTATTCCTGTCTAACCCCCCCACACCCCACACCCCCAGCACTCTTCCCTCAGGGCTTTTGGGACTAGAATACCCCACTAACTCTGACAGATGATCTTTGAGGGGAGAGAAGTCTGTGACACTCCTGGCCCTAAGTGACAGCCCAAGGATATTCAAAATGATCTTGCTCATGCTAGATGAAGGCGACTTGTCAAAGGGGGACAGATTGTCTTCGAATCAGCTCCAGGGAAGGTTGACAAGTGAACCAACTGCCTTACCCATTCTAGGACTAGCCTGTGGCTTTCTGCAAATGTGACAAAGATACCAGGGTCATGGGGAGAAAAATGCCTGAGAAACAGGTGAACTGGGAAGGAGGGCCAACCGGAAGAAGGGGTGAATCAGTCAGTAGACTCCAAACTCTCGACGGCCTCAAGTGTGCACCCCATCATTCTTGATCTGAGTACCTTCTCTGCTGTGACCGTAGGCCTTCTCTTCTACCCCTTCCATGCAACAGCATCCATGGATGGCTCTCGTTAGCACTCTGCTTCTCTTCCCATCACAGCGACAAGCGCAGGGAAATATAACAACATAATCCTCTTCACACCACACAGTCCCCAAAGGTCCTTATTCAGAATTCTCCATTTATCTGGTCATTAGATCTAATTAAATCCATCCAACTTAGAGCACTGATGAGTGGCACCACTTTCTCTCACCAATTAAAATAGAGGAGATTAAAGAATGCCCCCGACACTTTGTCCTTGTGAGGGTGGTGGCTTGGGAAGATGCACTGGAGGAACACAGAAGACTGCCCTTTATCTCTGAAAACACTGCTGATGTCATGTGGGCTCCTGCCAGGAAAATGTACCCTTCATGTGGCTTTTTCCAGCTGTGGCCCACAAATGTACAGTAAATAGTTTGTTGTTTCCTTCTAGAAATATCCTTTTCCAAAGGTGGTTTAAAGAGATTAAACAGAGGATGTCTATGAGTAGTAATAAAAAGGAAAATAGAATTTGGGCCAAAAAGAAGGTAACATATATTAATCCAAAATATTGTCGAAAACATTAATTCTAATTAACATAAAATCTGGTTGGAGCTTCCTAGTAGTTAAGGCAAAAAGAGCAACATAGCATATTACCATAGCTGTAATCATTTTAAGGGGCCAAATTCACTATGTCTTCTACTTTTAAGGGATGGAAGAAAATTCTGGCTGTAAGTTCTGAGAGGAATTTCTCCAGCAGTGTTTGCATCAGAGATGTTCAGTGAAAACAATGTTGTCAACAGTATTGTTTAAGTCCTCTGCCTTATATCTGATAGGCTAGATGCTGGGTATCTGGGGCATGGAAACCATATTTACGTTTTTTGAAGGATTACTTTGTCTATATAAGGTTCAAATTATGATCACAGCATTATCCATTACAGTATAGTACTCAGGCCAACTTAACATATCAGCATCAAGCTGGGAGGAGAGGAAAGCTGTAGACTTCTTTCTATAAACCCAGTTCCCATAGGTGCTCACTCACCTGCCCTGCCATGTCCCTCTGATATGGTTGGCTTCACACCAGTCACTGGACACAGGGCTTTCCCTTTTGAGAAGCATGGGTATCTCTAGAGAATCAACTTATTGTAATCCTGTTCTTTTCTCAGAGCTGTATTGAGCCACACCTTGCTTTTAATCCCTCTTCAATCTACACTGTGGTGTCTTAATTCAGAAGCTATGCATGGAGACATTCTCCTAGAGCTTCCACAGTAAAACATCCCATTGGGGAATGGGGGACAGAGGAAGTAGAGAGGTAGCCTTAGTTTACTAATCCTAGAGAAGAAAGGGAGCCAGGCTTTTACTCAGCACAGTTCCCCACCCCTACCCCACCCCACCCCACCCCATCCCCAACCCGAGGGAAGCATACTGCCCAAGAAAATTTCCAGAGTGCAGGATGACCACTTCTATTCTTTCCTCCTACTTCTACAAAAGATTTCCCTGTAGAGTGGCTTGTGAGGCTGGTTAAGCTCTACTCTGTGTACTCCAGTCTATCCTGAGCACCCCAAACCCTCCTGCTGGGTTTCTGCTGCCACAGACCCACTCACGCTGCTGCATCTTTAAGATATGCCCAGTCAAGAGCTCCTCTTTGCCTTTGATTCAACACAGATATCCTTCAAAGATCCTTCTAAAGAGTGGTCCTGATTCCTTCCTGTGGTCTTAGCCCCAAAACTTGACCACTTCCTGGCTCCTGAGAGGGCTCCTTCTCAGGATCCTAGATTTTCCTCTGCATTTGAGGGTAAGTTCTCCACTCATCTCTGAGAAATCACTAGGTGTCATGGCTCTTTGTATATGCCAGTATGCCTGGGATATCAGATGCCCAGATATTTAACTGAACAACCGTGGGGGCATGTCTGTGGCCAAGTTTATGGATGAGATTAGCATTTGAATAAGTTGTCCTCACCAAGGTGTCATCTAATTGGATGGGAGTCCGCATGAAGCAACAGTTAGAGGGAGGGAAAGATTGTTCCCTCTGCTTGATCACTTGAACCAGGGTATCTTTGATTTTCTCCTGCCTGCGGCTGAGGTTTACAGCCTCAGCTCTGTGGTTCTTAGACCTTGGGATTGAGGCTGAACTACAATACTAGCTTTCCTGAGTCTCCAGCTTAGAATTCAGACCATGGGGATTCTCAGCCCCCTTAATTGTATGAGTCAAATCCTTATAATATAATGTTCCTTACTGGTCCCATGTCTCTGGAATAGCCTATTACACCAAGCCCTGCCTCAGCTGCCCTTAAAACTGTCCGGATTGAACCCAGAAAGCCCAGCAGTTTTCTGTCTCATAGGCCAGACCCTGTTGAGGCCAAGCTCTTGCTGTGCCAGTGTGTTTCTGGTTGCAGGTTGGGCTCTTTGCTTGTCCTGCCATCCATTCAGGGTTACCAAAACAAGAAGGAAGCAAAGCCCAATGGGAATGCATGGAGGGGGGATTGTTAAAAGTCCCTTGTATGATGACAAGCGTCCAGTCCTTCCCAGCCAAAGCCCTGGAATCTTCCTGGGCACAGTGGCTCCTCCCGATGATTTCAGTGGAGAATTGGAAAAGCTTGGCAGAGAAAGATGAGAGAAAAAAAAAAAACTTCACATATCGGTTACCAGAGAGAACAGTGAGTTGGCAGTGGAGCCTGTGAGTCTTTAAAGATGGTTCCTTGAATTCTTGGGTTTTGTTAATAAAGTGGGGGCCCGAGGCTTATTTGTGAGGACTTAGTGGGATGACACGTGTGAGGGTGAAGCACGGTTCTCCTCACAAGGGAAGATGCTGCCTGAAGTTCAGCCCAGTCTCCTCCTCCCTTTACTCTTCTCAGGTTTCTTCTTTTTCTCCACTCCCTGTCACAGCCCCCATCCTCCAAGGCTCAGAGAGAAGCAGGCACTCCCAGCAGCAGTAGGAGACTCTGCTCCACAGGGGGCGCTCTAAGATCAGAAAAGGGACCTTGGGGAAAAGTGTGTTTTCAAGAGGATTGTGAGCAGGTACCAATGGCTGGACATTTTAAAAAAAATGACTTTTATGAAATCTTTGCCTTGATATGCTATCAATTTTCCCAGATGCCTTTTCAATATCTGCCTACAGAACTGTATGAAATTATAGTAAGTCCTACAGCTGAGGGATGAGGATGTGGCGGACATCTGTGGCTTGGATGAGAGAAGCTCGAGGTGTGCTGCTGCTGGTAAGGTCTACTCAAGGAGGCTGCCAAGCTGCAAGCCTTCCCAAGGCAGGGGTGGGGAGGGAGCTCCCTAGCAGAGAAATGCCTATATCTGTCACCTGTCACCACCCCCCCTCCCCATGTACCCCAAGCAGGGCTCAGATCCATCCGGGCTGCAGACCTCAGACAGCACAGGCCTTCATCCACTAAACAGACTCAGGGACCTCAAGATGGGGCGAGGACAGAAAGAAGGAAGGAAGAAAGAATGGGCCAGAGAATGTGCTAGGTGACTTCTGTAAGTCAGAATTTACATGGATTGACCTGTACACCACAGAGCTTCCTGTGCCTCCAGAGGGCCGAAGAACAGGCCCCTCATTTCACTTATAACCTGTCGGGATGGGCAGGGCAACCTGAGCACACCCCCTGCTGAGTCTGTGACAGCTTTGCTAGTGGAAAGCTATGTCTGGCCTACAACTGACCCCACCCACATACAGTAAACAGTGAGTGGAGGCAGACACATGTCTGCCAGGAACCCAAAGCATCTCCCTGTCTCTATGGGAAGACAAGAGGCAGCTCAAGAGAACCTGTGATAAGTCTGCTTCGGCAGAGGCCTTGGAAGGGTGAGGTACCTGGACTGATAGGGAGAGCATCCTAAGACCTCTTGCCTCACAGCCCACTCCAGAGGCCTGGGGGAGCTCGAAAGGAACAGGGTCCACAGCCTGTGTTCCAGCAACCTGTGGGGCTGCTAACTTTATAGTGCTTGTCATCTTTTGTGTTTTGTCCACCTGCCAAACCCATTTCCACCGTGCACTCAGAAGTGGGAGGCTGCGAGGCTCACATCTGTGGCTGATAACACACGACCCTGTGTGAATCGAGGAGCTAAGAGGCTTTGCTTTGCTGTTTTGGAGAGACCTTTGGCTCAAGGCACTGCACTAGGAGGGCAGCAGATACCGTCAATTACAAACCTGTCCTTCAAACCCTGGGGCTCGGTGTGCCTGCTTCTGTCAGACAGGCATGTTCACACAAGCTGGGGACATGCTTCTGTGTAGGAGCCTGGTGCCAGGTGAAGCTCAAAGACCTGACAGTTTCTCTCTCTCTCTCTCTCTCTCTCTCTCTCTCTCTCTCTCTCTCTCTCTCTCTCTCTCTCTCTCTCTCTCTCTCTCTCTCTCTCCCTCTCTTTCTCCCTCCCTCCCCTCCTCCCTCCCTTTCTTTCCTTCCTGTCTGTCTTTTTCTTTTTTTCTTTTCTTTTTTATGTTTCTGGGGGCTTGGGAGATGGCTCAGTAAATAAAATGAGAAGGTTTATATGGCTGAGAAAGCAAGGGAACCTGAGTCAAATCCCCCAGAACCCACCTAAAAGCCTGGGATGGTGGTGCATTCCTTTTACCCCAATGCTGAGGAGGTGGAGATGGGGACCCTGGGGCTTGCTGATCAGCCTGTAGCCAAATAGAACTCCAAGTTGACAAACAGACCTTATCTCGGGGAAAAAAAGTAAGGTAGACAGAAATGGGGGATGTCATCCTACACCCACACTGGCCTCCATACAAATAGATGCAAATGTGCTTGTACACACATAAGGACACAGATAATTCCATAAATTGTTTGTGGAAATAATTCTGAGCAAATAATTCCATAACTATCACCACACAAATAAGTTAGAGACCATTCAAAATATAAACTGAAAGATAAGGTATTTATATTTCTTTCTCAATTAATCATACTTACCAATGGGCTATGTGTACTTGTTGGGCACTATATAACTTCTCAAATGTTGGACACTGTCTCTTTGTCTTCTATTTCACATTGACTTTGGGATGGTACTTGCTTCTTATCATATCAACCATAGAAAACACCTTCAAAAGACCGGCCTGGAGAGCCATGCCTGGTACCCTCTGGACACTTCTACTCCAATTATTCCACATCCGTTAACCCAGGGTCCTTCCTTCCCCAGCAACTGGGTATTGTGCATCTTCTGTATGAGTGGAATAGAGAGGCTCTGCCGGGCCCTCTACCCACCATGTGTGTGACCTTGGGCAATATCTGGCTTCGGTGCTTCGGATCCCACCTCTGTAAAGTGAGTTCAGTAAAATGATGGCCGTGGTGAGACTGAAATCCAGCTGTATGCGCATCAGAGTGTTGTGATTCTGAGTAAACAATGCTGCAAAGAGGTGTGATGACACAGTCACAGGCTCTGCTTCTGCCCGGCTTATAGTCCAGGGAATGAGGTCTACATCAAGCAGGTATCTAGCCAAACACTTAACAGGCTCCATTTGGGTGTGTGTTTCAGATATACATATATAGGAATTTCATGCTGATACCTTAGAATTATTCCCAGAGCACAAACATTTAAATAAGATCTTTAAAGATGAGTAAAAGTGAGGGAAGCCAAGACCCAGCAGACAGTGTCCCCAAAAGAAGAAACCTTGTGGGGAAGATCCCAATAGTTTGGCTAGTGCTAAGAACAGGCGCGCGCGCGCGCGCGCGCGCACACACACACACACACACACACACACACACACGGGAGTGGGATGTCAAGGAAGACAGCATATACAAGATCATCCAGGGTTTTGGTAGCACTCATGAAGGAAACTCCAATAATTTCCAAGCGTGGTGGGAAGCCACTGATGGCTTTCAAGCAGAGGAATGACACAATTTCATTCATTTAAAAGATCACCGTACCTGGGTATGGTGGCATACACCTTTAATTTCAGCACTTGGCAGTGGGGGCAGAAGGCTATCTGTGAGTTCCAGGCCTGCCAGGACTATTATAGTGAGACTGTCTAAACAACAGCAACAATAAAAGAAAAAAACCAAATAAACAAACAAAAAACATCTTGGCTGCCAGTTGGAAACTGGGCTCCTAAGAACAAGTGAGAAAAACAAAGACACAGGTAGGCTCCTATTTGTAAACTGGGAAAGAACAGGATGGAAGAGGGCAGGTTTGAGAACTGGGAGCTAGAACAGCTGGTATGGATTGGTGATCTAGACAGAAGGAGAAATCAGGCAGAACCCCAGATGTCTGCTAGAGCACTGAGCAGAAGGAAGTAGAGGGTGGTTTCCAGTAAAATTACTAGGTAGGGGATGGGAGAAATAGCTCAGTGGGTAGAGTGCTTGACTTTCATCTGAACAACAGGTTTAAAGAAGAATGCTGAGTGTAATGATGTATGCTTGCAATTCCAGCACTGGGTGGGTGGGGGGCACAGAAGATTCCTGAGGCTTGCTAGTCAGGCAACCTGGCTGAATTGGCTAGCCCTGGATCCAAGACAGAGAGACCAAGTCTCCAAACACCCAAACCAAAACCAGAACAAAAACCTGGCCAACCTAACTACAATGACAAGAACAACAAAATAGCTAAACCACCAAAACATGAACAAGCCCATAATAAGATGCACAGCTCCTTAGGAATGGCACCTGGAACTGTTCTTTCGTCAATACATGCACCTACACACATGTAACATGTATACTTATAGCATGAGAACACACACACCACATACACACATACCACACACACACATCACATACACCACAACACACACACACACACACACACACACACACACACACGGGAGTGGGGGTGGGTGGGGTGGGGGGTGGGATGTCAAGGAAGACAGCATATACAAGATCATCCAGGGTTTTGAAAACATTCATGAAGGAAACTTCAATAATTTCCAAGCCTGGTGGGAAGCCACTGATGGCTTTCAAGCAGAGGAATGACACAATTTCATTCATTTAAAAGATCACCGTACCTGGGTATGGTGGCATACACCTTTAATTTCAGCACTTGGCAGTGGGGGCAGAAGGCTATCTGTGAGTTCCAGGCCTGCCAGGACTATTATAGTGAGACTGTCTAAACAACAGCAACAATAAAAGAAAAAAACCAAATAAACAAACAAAAAACATCTTGGCTGCCAGTTGGAAACCGGGCTCCTAAGAACAAGTGAGAAAAACAAAGACCCAGGTAAACTCCTATTTAAAAAAAACCAAATAAACAAACAAAAAACATCTTGGCTGCCAGTTGGAAACTGGGCTCCTAAGAACAAGTGAGAAAAACAAAGACACAGGTAGGCTCCTATTTGTAAACTGGGAAAGAACAGGATGGAAGAGGGCAGGTTTGAGAACTGGGAGCTAGAACAGCTGGTATGGATTGGTGATCTAGACAGAAGGAGAAATCAGGCAGAACCCCAGATGTCTGCTAGAGCACTGAGCAGAAGGAAGTAGAGGGTGGTTTCCAGTAAAATTACTAGGTAGGGGATGGGAGAAATAGCTCAGTGGGTAGAGTGCTTGACTTTCATCTGAACAACAGGTTTAAAGAAGAATGCTGAGTGTAATGATGTATGCTTGCAATTCCAGCACTGGGTGGGTGGGGGGCACAGAAGATTCCTGAGGCTTGCTAGTCAGGCAACCTGGCTGAATTGGCTAGCCCTGGATCCAAGACAGAGAGACCAAGTCTCCAAACACCCAAACCAAAACCAGAACAAAAACCTGGCCAACCTAACTACAATGACAAGAACAACAAAATAGCTAAACCACCAAAACATGAACAAGCCCATAATAAGATGCACAGCTCCTTAGGAATGGCACCTGGAACTGTTCTTTCGTCAATACATGCACCTACACACATGTAACATGTATACTTATAGCATGAGAACACACACACCACATACACACATACCACACACACACATCACATACACCACACCACACACACACACACACACACACACACACACACACAGTAGTACAAAGAACAAGTGACAGGCTCTCCAAAACCACTTTCTGCAAACACTTCTTACAAAACAGGATTTCTGCATTTCTCTTTTGAAATGTCCAGATAACTATCTTAGGTCTTCACTTTATTTTGCACAATGGTCAGAGCATCAGGGACTGGAGAAGACCTTTACTGTGGCAAAGATCACCTTGTGGCATTTGAGTTCTTTCCTGACCCAAGGCTTCATCTAGAAAACAAATTTCTCACTGTCCTGTCCATGACCAAGCCAGATAGACTGTGTCAGGAGCTTCTTTCCCTCCACTCTCTCCAGCCATCTTTCTGTCTTGTATTTAAGGGGGGGAGAGTTAATGTGATATTAATTAAGGTACATGGCAATTTCTTCCCCTAATTAGAGTGGAACCTTTCTCCTGAACACTTTGAAGAGCTACTCTGCGGATAGAAGAAACTTCTCATCCTCCGTCAGGGCGTTGTACTGTTTCTTCACATTTTTCGCGTCAGTCAGAATAAGAAACTCTTGGATAATGAAGGGACGAGCCTTTAACTTGGTCCAGTCCAGTCAGCCAGGAGCAGGGTATGGGAAGCCTGCTGGACCAGTCATAAGCAGTGTGGGAGTCAGATTTGGATGCAAACAGGTCTGTGGGCCGGAAGGTAGTCAGGTGAGTTGGAACTGGTGGTAACCGGGGTGCTGGGATACTTGTGTAGGAGGACTGGGGGAACAGCAGCACCCACACCTGTAAGGGCTCATCTCCACAGGCCAGCTCTTCTCTGTGAGCCAATATCCTCGGTGGAAGGTAGAGTGTGGACGGTTTGTCCTTCCTCCTAACTTCCCAGAGATGGTCCCTAGGTTTTGTGTGGACTCAGAAGCTACCCTGGGAGTCCCAGAGCTGGGGCAGTGGCCATGATATAATGAGAAAAGAGACAAAGTGAGGGCATGCATCAAGGGTGGCAGAGGGAAGAGTCTAAGGCAGGAGAGTGGCCACCCCTCACCTGAGAAGACTTGTTCAGCTGGAGACACGCCTGGCTTTTCTAACTCTGCCAGCTCCTCTGATTTATTCTTTTCCTCCCTCCAACATTTCTTCTTTCTGCCTCCTCTAAATGCCATCAAGGTGGGAAAAGAAAGAGAAAGGACCTTGTCCCCTCCTGCCTCAAACCAATTTCTTACAAAGACACTCTGGAGAGAAAGCAGAGGCCACTGGTTTTTATCTGTGAATCTTAAGGCAAGTGTTCTCCCTGTAGGTATGGAGAGCTAGTGAAACACAACCTGTAACAGCCCCCGTGTGCCCATCTCCTCCCCAGCACGGCGCCACCTGGCCATTGTGTCAGACACTTTAATTGGATTATTGCTGCTTTTCCACCTGTCTCAAGATGAAGGTTGGGAGAGACCAAGCTCTCGGGGAAGCATGGGAGGTGGTAGAGGTGGGGGAAGGGAACACCATCCTTTCTTTCCCAGTGTCTCTTTAACAGTAAGGTCTGCAGTCTCAGGTCAGAGAGGCAGGGCAGGCACAAGGTTTCTTATTTCCTTGGAAGCCCTGACAGTGAGCGTGGTACCAGTCTTGGAGGAAATGGGTGACGGAACTGGGGGAGAAGGACAGGAAAGGTGGGGTGTTGCTGAAGAGTTGAGAAGGAGAAAGAATGGAGGCTGAATTCAGTAATTTCAACTCAACTCCATACTGGTCCGGTGAGGACCCCGACTGCCTGGCACTGGGGCTGGAAGGCAGGCAGGCAACTAGGAAGGAAGGGAAGAAGAGAAGAGGAATGCATCCCTGGCGGGTAACTGTGTCCTTGAACAAAAGACAAGAAGCAAGCCCAAGCTCTAAGACAGCAGTTCTCAAACTATGTGATGCAACTCTTTGCAGGGGTAGGGGAATGGACCGTCAAATGACCTTTTTACAGGGGTCATCTAAGACCATCTTTGTAGCCAATATTTACATTATGATTCGTAACAGTAGCAAAATGACAATTATGAAGTAGCAACGAAAATAATTTTGTGGTTGAGGGTCACCACAGCATGAGGAGTTATATAAAGGGTTGCAGCATTAGGAAGGTTGAAAACCGCTGTCCTAGGAGTATCAGGAAGACAGACTTGGTCCTGACTAGGGTGACCCGATAAAAGCCAGGGAGATGTTATGTTTTCCATGGCTTAGGTTACAAGGAGAGGGAAGAGCAAAGAAGAACATTCCAGGCAGAGGGACAAGAGATGAGTGATGCTGAGGAGTGGAGCCTGGCACACCTGTTTGGGATGGGGAAGGCAGTGCTAAGGCAGAAAGGGGTGTGGGGTGTGTGTGATGGGTATAATTGTTGCATACATACTTGTTTCCCTGGCTGAGTGTGGATTTTCTCTTGTGTCATGGGAGCCAAGGAAGACTTATGAGGTGTGGATTGATGGCTTCAGAGCTATATTTTAGAAGAACAATTCTGTTCCCTCAGACATATACTTCCTAATTCTTTATTCCTGCCACATGGCTTACAATCCCCCCAAACAAGTAATGTTTAAGCACACTTCAGCGTGTACCTTAGTAGGAATCTTGAGCCTCAATACCAGCCTTACTTCCCACTCTTTCTGAACCTGGCCTTTGCTTATTTGTAGCTGCTCAGAATAATTTCTGCAAATCTCTCAGAGAGCAAAGCACAGGACACACAATTTTAATTCTCAAGGATCATCTTTGTCCCTCATGGTTTTGTCTGAGACTAGGGGTTATTATAACCTGATCAAATATACCAATAGTGGGAGGGGATATTGCCGGAAAAGCATGGGGGAATGCTAGCAAGATACAAGGTTAATTCGGGGATGGTTTTCTTACATGGTGGCCTTGTGGTCATGATTCATGGACAATGGTAAAATGATTTGGCAGGACATGGGGAGTCAGGCAGTACAGGGAGAAGCCATCAAGGTAGAAAACGTCAAGTCCAGCAAGGGGGAAGGACCATTGTATTGAGGAAGAGGGAGAGACAAGCATGCTCTGACAGAACTTGGAGACTAGAGGCTAGTCAATGGGGCTATGAATTCCAGTGATGCAAGATTGGAGCGTGGTGTCCAAATAAAGGGCTCTTTCTGCATCTTCTCTGCCTATAGCATATGTGGGCTCCTTTTATTCTTCTTTCTAGGGGTGCAGCCCCACAGGATGGAAATGAGAGCTCTCCCTATTCAGTAGATGGTGAAGTTAGTTATGGCACCTTCTGGACTTGACCGAGGCAGGAAAGGTGCTCCTGCAAAGGAAGTGACCCTGCCAAACGGATAGAGGTCACACGTGCACAGCTATTCTGCAAGCAAGGCCTGTGTGATATCCTGCACTCTTTGTGCTTTGGCAATGAACCTGTGATGGCTAGTTACAAGAGTTAAGATTGAGTTTTAGACATGTTCTGAATACCTGAAAATGTCCTTGTACTCTGATGAGGCAAATTTCACTTGGGTGAACACCTAGATAAGAAAGTCGGCTTAATAACCATGCTGTTTTACTATTAAAACAAGAAGCCAGCTATGTACCATCTAATGTTCAGAGAACATTGAGATTCCGGAACAATGAAGGGTAATGAAGTCTCCAGCACAGATTAGTTTTGTTACTACGTTTTTTTTTTGTTGTTGTTTATTTACTTATTTAGTGTGTATGAGTGCATGCTTGAGTGCACGTGAGCATCATGATGCACATTTGGAGGTCAGAGGACAATTTGCATGAGTCAGTTCTTAGGGATGGAACTCGGGTCTTCAGGCTTAGCTGCAAGAGCTTTTACTCACTGAGCCATCTCACTGGCTCAAGGCAAATTCGTTCATCCTCATTTTACAGATG